TTGGCCCGAAGCGACGCACCGAACCGTTTAACCAAATTCATAATACGCACTGTTGCACGGCTCGCACCTCTCGATTATTGCAACAACGCCAGCAGTTATGTAAACAGCCAACATGGCCGTGAAATCGCATTTGGACTTTTGGGTAAATCAAATCAGCGGGATGGGGACAGACATAAAAAGCCAGGATGGCGTGGCAGGGGCGGGACTTTGTGTATTTTTATGACCGTAATGAAAAGATCAAAAGCCCATAAAATGGCCCTTTGGATGAAAACAATGAATGCAGCATTTTACCATTGAAGGATTCATAAAATTTCGAATGCAAATACGCCTCCCAAAAAGAAAAGGGAAAAAGGCTCGGATAAAAAACATATATTTTTGCATTATCAATTGGGTTATATAAATGCGTTGAGAAGAATCCCGTCATAGATATCTCAGAGGGCCCCTCATGAAAATCAAATCTCATGACTATGGCCCTCAGCGCCAGGCAGCCTGTTCATTAAAACAATGTTGGAATGTCGAATGCCGACTTTCCAAAATCCACTCAACTGACCAAATTAGTCCGTTGCAGGGAGCGAAAACTCAATTTGTCCCGGAAATGACTCGTTCTGCCGTTCGACCTCGGCCAAGGACATGTTCGTCAATTGCCTTCGATTCGACTAACAATATTCACGCCAATTAACAAATTAATTGCCTACTTTGCTGGGTGCATTTGAAGGAGGCACACAAACAGGCTCTCAAACAAACCTGCGGCGAATTCCCAATGGCATCTTAGTTTTATGAGCAAACACAACACAGCCACAAAGTAGAAATGCTAATGAAATTTTCAGCCCAGGCGGCATTGCTGTGTTTGCTTCAGCCGGTGGGCGTTGGCCGGGGGTAGGGGTGAGTGGGCGGGGAAAGTCGGGTCGGTAGAGTCGACTCTGCGCATCCTAGGGCCGGTGGTGGGCGTACTTGCAAAGCTTTTAATATAATGACACATTATCATGGTAGGCAGTGATGTCAAAGGCCAGGAGTGTGTACACATGGCCCCCAAGCCCCCCACTTCAGCAGTTCGCCACTTGCAACGATAAATGGGCCCACGCACAAGCAGATAATGCGTGGAGGGAACAAAGGGTCTACCGTTTAAATTCGCTTAAGGTGATAACAAGATGCTCATACGGCTTGTAAAGCACGCTGGGCCAAAGAGACTGGATTTCGGCCAAAAGTAGATTTTTCTTAGCATTATACCTTTTTGGGGCACACATTTGAATTTATTTGATTTACTTTAGTGCCCTATGTTTTACAAAACTTTAATAACTTTATTTTCAGTGAAAAGCTTGCGTCGCAGTGGGATAGACATTTTCGGTCCAACAAAGTACAATTAAGTATTTGTTGCAAAGAAATAATTTCCAATTTTAAATAAGTATCCATTTCACAATGTTAGAACATGGTAAAAAACAAACAGAAAACGCTGTCAAAAATATATAACTAAACCGTTTGGGGTCATTTTCGGTGTAAATCTGTAACAAAATGTAGACAACAGAGGAAAACCTTTGAGGAAACAGGCTCTAAAATTAATACCGCCATATCCACATCCCTGAAACAAACGTATCCAGAACCTGCAATAAAAAGACAACTTTTGGAAAAGTTTCATGCAGATAGCTATAAAACTGAGAGACTAGTTTGCTTAGGAACGGACGGACAGACAGACGGACAGACGAACATGGCTAGATCGACTCTCCTAGTGATGCTGATCAAGAATATATATACTTTATAGGGTCGGAAACGTCTCCTTCACTGCGTTGCAAACTACTGACTGAAATTATAATACCCTCTGCAAGGGTATAAAAACAGCAAAGTTATTATTTTTGTTCACTTATTTTTCCGATTGCTCCTATGGGAGCTATATGCTGTAGTCGTCCGATCCGGCTCGTTCCAACTTATGTACTACCTGCAATAGAAAGACAACTTTTGGAAAAGGAAAACGGACGGACAGACAGACGGACAGACGGACATGGCTAGATCGACTCTCCTAGTGATGCTGATCAAGAATATATATACTTTATAGGGTCGGAAACGTCTCCTTCACTGCGTTGCAAACTACTGACTGAAATTATAATACCCTCTGCAAGGGTATAAAAACAGCAAAGTTATTATTTTTGTTCACTTATTTTTCCGATTGCTCCTATGGGAGCTATATGCTGTAGTCGTCCGATCCGGCTCGTTCCAACTTATGTACTACCTGCAATAGAAAGACAACTTTTGGAAAAGGAAAACGGACGGACAGACAGACGGACAGACGGACATGGCTAGATCGACTCTCCTAGTGATGCTGATCAAGAATATATATACTTTATAGGGTCGGAAACGTCTACTTCACTGCGTTGCAAACTACTGACTGAAATTATAATACCCTCTGCAAGGGTATAAAAACAGCAAAGTTATTATTTTTGTTCACTTATTTTTCCGATTGCTCCTATGGGAGCTATATGCTGTAGTCGTCCGATCCGGCTCGTTCCAACTTATGTACTACCTGCAATAGAAAGACAACTTTTGGAAAAGGAAAACGGACGGACAGACAGACGGACAGACGGACATGGCTAGATCGACTCTCCTAGTGATGCTGATCAAGAATATATATACTTTATAGGGTCGGAAACGTCTCCTTCACTGCGTTGCAAACTACTGACTGAAATTATAATACCCTCTGCAAGGGTATAAAAACAGCAAAGTTATTATTTTTGTTCACTTATTTTTCCGATTGCTCCTATGGGAGCTATATGCTGTAGTCGTCCGATCCGGCTCGTTCCAACTTATGTACTACCTGCAATAGAAAGACAACTTTTGGAAAAGGAAAACGGACGGACAGACAGACGGACAGACGGACATGGCTAGATCGACTCTCCTAGTGATGCTGATCAAGAATATATATACTTTATAGGGTCGGAAACGTCTACTTCACTGCGTTGCAAACTTCTGACTGAAATTATAATACCCTCTGCAAGGGTATACAATGTTAATATAGCTAACTTGATGAATAACAATTAATCGACGCATTAATATATTTTTTTTGCATAGTTTCTTTAAAACGCAAGGCTTCGTAGCTCTAAGTATTTTGAAACAAGTGACTCAACAAAGGTGTATACTGCAAATAAAAGCTTAGAAATCATTGCGTCAGAGGTTCGATTTCTACCCGAGGTAAATGCTTATGTAAGAATTTATAAAAAATTATAGAATATTTATGTTGACGTCTAAACATTACTAGTTCTCTTTCATTTCAATAAATCTTCCTTACAGATATAAATGTACAATACATACATACATACATACATGCGGCAAAAGAAGTTTAAGTACACTTTGCACTGAAATTTTATTTAAAATGTTAAGCGTGTATATAAATAATTTAATAAAATAATTTCTTTATAAAACGCATTGCAGTTGTCGCAGGCGTGCATAAAACTTGTTTTTTTTTTAACTAAAAAACATGTTTTTATGTCAAATTTTGTTTTGTATTTTCAGTTTTTATTTTGAATATGTACTTGTTTAATTTAAATCTCTATGGGCGGCAGTGCATGTAGTGCCGATGCGCAGTTAGAGCGTGTGTATAGTATACGACTATTTGAACAAAACAACTCTCGGGAAAAACAAGTACCGAAAATATTTAGTTCCATGGGAAAATATTTGTATGATATTTTTCTGAATGAAGTTCAATTTAACTGAGCCATAACATTCAAAATGTCGTCAAATATCTGAGTTTCGTGTTCTGAGCAATATGTTCATGTCTTTGGGAAATGTTTAATTCTGGCATGGTATGAACCTGACCTATGCAGCCCATTTAAAGAGCGATAAAATTTGGCTTAAAAGAAGAGGATGGTCAGTTTCAGGCATCAACCAACAAGGCCCCCACCACGTATCCTCGATGCCTATTAAATATTCAGGAGCGGCAGCGCTTGTACAACAATGACAGTATCAACAGGACCAGTAACGCAGCTGCATCCATTTAATTTCATTTTAATGCAAATCATATCTCATGAAGGTGTCCTGCCGAATGCTGCCACTGACTACCAACACTCTCTTTATCGAACAATCAAATGATTGCAATGGAGTGGAATCCTTGTCCGGGTTGAGTTACCGCCAGAAGCGTGTTCAATGCATAATTTTTGGCAGAGTTGCAAATTATTGTTGTTGCTGACTGTCGCTGTCGTCATTTATGTTTGTCTGTTGTCTGTGCTCGTCGACTGTTATTTGAAATTATACTGATTATCGCGTAGTAGACCGACAGATGCATCGGGACCTTTGTCGGTGCCTGAAGAGTGTTACTACATAAAAAGTGGAAAGGTCGCCGAAAATACTTAATTGGGAGGTACAAAATTTATGTTCGCGGAATTTGCGTTTACCACACTAGAAAATCTATCACAGTGAAATTTACAGTCGTCTAAGCTGGAGCTTTTCTATGGAACAAGCAAATCGATTTTATTGTCGGCGCAGGCCCTTGATCATTCTCACCTCAAGTGGCACTTAAGCATACAGGAAACAAATTTGCCAAAGACGTATTCGTGTTCAAGGTCAGATAATTAGAATATGGCCAAAACACTAATATACTTTGGTGCTAAATTTGTGAAGTGGCTTTTATAAGTGCTCCGAAAACGGCTGGCGGAATTTAGGAAACTCATCCAGGAGCTCGCCGATATGGTTACCACAAGGCTTTTTACACATTAGCTCCATCAAGCATTCACGATTCATCGCTGCCTCACGAATGCTCGAGACACTTCACATTCAAAACCAGATCCAAAAATAATTGCGCTCAAGTGCGTGGCCAAATGCGGATCGACGAATCCGGCAACCAATGTCCAGAGCCCACCGCCATCGCTTAAGTGGTTAATAGAGTTCGATGTTGGCTTTGATGAACACTCGACTTGGCGGCTATGATTTCTTCTCGACCGAGTTCAACCTACTACAGAGATTGGTAATGAGAACTTGATTCCAGCCGACCCGCCAAAGTCTAGCTATAAAGTCGCCTGTCGAATTGGAGCAAGGTATCATTGGGTTCAATACTAGCGACTCAGCAACATCTCCAGTCAGTTCGAATAGTTCGCCAACATCCAGAAGCCTATAACTATAGCTTCAGAATGGTGAGTACCGTTTGCCCTGCCCCTGTACATACCACAAGGAGTTTTGTTTTGAATTATTTTATTTAATTCAATTTAATTAAAAGTGTATCAGGTTTCTCTTGAGTTAAACTAGTCTTTTTTTTATAAACGAATGCATTATTTCTTTGCAGAAACTCTTCATTGCCGCCCTTACCGTTTGCCTGGTAGCCTACGCAGCCGCCCAGCTCCCCAGCTCGGAATACCTTCCCCCGGTGGACAACGCCCCCAGCCAGGAGTATCTTCCGCCCGTGGACGCCGCTGCCATCGGGGACACAAAGGTGTCCGACGATGGCTACCGCTACAAGACGGTGCGCAAGCTCAAGTTCCGAGCCCGCCACCGCCGCGACGTCTCTGAAATCGCGGAGCCCAGCAACGAGTATTTGCCGCCCGTGGAGGTGGAGCTGGCCCCCGAGCTGAAGACCGTCCTGGGCGATGGTTACCGCTACAAGACCGTGCGCCGGCTCAAGTTCCGCCGCCACCGCCGCGAGGCTGCCGCCGAGGAGGCTTCCGCCGAGGCCGCCCCCAACGGAGAGTACCTGCCCCCTGCCGAGGCTGCAGTCGCCCCCGTCCCCGCCCCCGCCGAGGCCGAGCCCAAGGCCGCCGAGGAGGGAACGGAGCTCGCTAAGGACGGCTACCGCTATAAGACAGTGCGCCGTCTGCGCTACCGCCACCGCCACTAGGCCTCAGACCCGAACCTAGACATATTGAACCAAATTGATCCTGAAAGTACACACGGGAAGTAGAGTCGGACGGGGCTGGGCCACGCCCTATCCAACTGACTTCCCTTTTTTGCCCTTCTCTAATATGTAGACCTTGGGTTGTCCCAGCATATGGAATAATAAAATTTATTCACGAAAAATCAGATGAAGCCTCTAACTTGCGTATTTCCTTGCCAGTCGGCAACTTAAAGCCCCAAGAACGGGATCCAAATTAACATATTCTCCAAGTTGCACATTAAATAACCGTATGGAAAAAAACGATTGGAGGGCCGTTGGGAGTTTAAGCCAATGGGCGAAATGGAATTGAAATCAATGGCCAAGTAATGGGCGAAAGGCTAGCGGAAAAAACTTTTGGCCCTCGCCAAGAGGGCAAAATTCTATTTTCAAATTAAGTGTGTCCTGCTATGCCACAAGGAGGAGCAGAGGCAAGAGAAGCTACCAGTCCGAGTGAACGACTCCGCGCCAGCTCCGCTCGCTCGACTGTGCCGGCAACTTTTTTTTTACGGTCAACTTTTCGTAATATTATTTTGCATTTATTTGCACAAAGTTGATTTTTCCTCTGATTTCTTTGTTTTCTTTGGTTGGCTTTGCGGACTGCCAGACAAGTTACAATATTGCAGCGGTCCTAGGCTGTTGGCTCTCTGTTGGGCCCAACCCAGTGAAAGAACCAAAAGCAGCTGGAAAAGAGTAAATAAAGCATTTTTTGTGCGCCAAACATAAAGTTCGTAATTGAGCTCTTGACTTTTTGTACCTGGCGCAGCCCAAAAACGATATCAACGAGTCCAAGTTGAATATTCGTTTAGTAACAGATTGAAATTAGCTTTTCAAGGCCTCTGGTTAACAGTCCGTGCATTGAGAAAAATATCGTTAAAACTGTGTATTTTTATAAGACAAAAAACTGAAAAAGAATGATATAAATTATTTTCAAACAAGAAAGGAAGCAAACTTAGGCAAGCCGAAGTTCATATACCCTTGCAGCTATTGCAAGAATTAAAAACTTTTGAAAACATTAAAATTATGATTTACTTGCGTATATGTCTAAAAGCATTGAAGCAATGATGATTTGCAGCTCAATTATTAGATAGTTATTTTATATATTTTTTTTATTATTTCTATGGGAGCTATATAATATAGTCGTCCGATTTTGATGAAATTTAAACCGTAATTCTAAAATATTTAACCATTCCTATGCGTCGAAGAACTAATAGAAAAATTGAAAAACAGCAAAGTTACAATTTTTTTCTACTTTTTTCTGATTGTTCCTATGGGAGTCATATGATATAGTCCTCCGATTTTGATGAAAATTAAACCATAATTCTAAAATAGTTAACCATTACCATATGTCGAAGAACTAATAGAAAAATTTAAAAACAGCAAAGTTATAATTTTTTTGTATTTGGGAGCTATATGCTATAGTCGTCCGATCCGGCTCGTACCGATTTATATACTACCTGCAATAGAAAGACAACTTCTGGGAAAGTTTCATGCAGATAGCTTTAAAACTGAGAGACTAGTTTGCGTAGAAACGGACGGACAGACGGACATGGCTAGATCGACTCGCCTAGTGATGCTGATCAAGAATATATATACTTTATAGGGTCGGAGATGTCTCCTTCACTGCGTTGCAAACTTCTGACTGAAATTATAATACCCTCTGCAAAATTAAAAAAATTAAAAATGTTCTCATAATGAGGCAAAATGTACTCAAAATCCGTGGTCTAGCGGTGTGAGATGACCGGTCCACGAAGTTAACACCCAAGGTTTTTTTATTTTATTAATGCTTATTTATGTAAAACTTTATTATTTCTAAAAAATCGCCTTTTCAAAGAAAATAGTTGTGCTGCTTTTGCTTACTGACAAGTTAGAACGAGCGTGGACGAGTGCTTAAGGCTTTCATCTAGAGAGCGAAAAGTCCCGTGTTCAATTCTCAAACGAGGCATGTGCTTTTCATAAAAATATTTCGTAAGTAAAATGATTTCATTTAACACGTAAATTAATAAAATAACAATTAATTATGAATTATTATGTTTATAAAGAATCAATTATAGCTCTACAAGTGGACAAAAAAGACCGACGCTCGTTTTCAAATTAAATTTCTATACATATATGTATGTAAAACAAACAATAAAGTTGAAAGAATCACGTTCGCGAGGGCGGCCAAATAACTCCACGGCACTTACGGGTGTTGCGGCAACTAAAGCCACAAAACAAAAAAAAAAGTTGAAAGAAAATGTTAGTAACATTTTTGGCCGATTTATTTTTTTTTCGAAGTCATTGAGAGCTTTGACCATTTGTGACTTATGAAGCATATATCACTCTTGCCATCGAGCCCAAATGCACCCCACACCATTAGGAGCCTCCTTGAAAATTGCGTCACATTTTTACCTGCTTTGGAGTCCTATTATCCCTATAATTGTCTAAATTAAACTTCTTATTATCACTAAAGATAATATTTGTCTACTCCATGTCCCATGTCCCATCGCATATATTCGATTCAGCTAAATGGATTATGGATCATAATTCTTGCTGCACTCGAGCTTCGATATGGGAAGAGCCAATTCGCGACAAATTTGGGCAACACTCTGGCTTTCTTTAACGGCAAGGACCTTTTTATGTCATTTATCAAGGAGTTGGAGTAACGACGGGGAATCTTTCAGGAATTTTTGGACAGTAAAGTAGCTTCTGTTCACTTTATTTCAACTTGTGTCATCCCCATTTCGCGGTAAGCTGAAACTTTTACTCGGTCCTCATTAGTTAGATATCAGCTTTGAGACATTCTATTAAAAATAATATTATTTAAAGTATAAATGATATTTGAAGCCAAAATGGAAAATAAAAACATAAGATTTTGATCGTAAGCACTTGTAAACAGCCACAGTCTACAAATGTAAGCTCATTTAATTCTTTCAGTAACAAGAGGTTCTGGAACATATGTATGATCGTTTATAATAAAACCTTTTTCGTTTTTGATACGCACCGTGTTCTTGGGAGTAAGTATAACATTACCAAAAATTTTTGGCAGCATATACCAAGTAGTGTAAGGGGACGTTTTTGGCGCACCTTAGTGTGCTTTGTCTGTGTTTGACACTTTGAATGTGTCAATGTCTTAATATCATATCTTGTCGGCTTCCTCCTAAGTGGCAACGTGGTGCAGTGGTCAAAGCTATGATGATTTGCAAATCAATTATTTGATAGTTATTTTATATATTTTTATTATTTCTATGGGAGCTATATGCTATAGTCGTTCGATTTTGATGAAATTTATACCGTAAATCGCAAATATTTAACCATTACTAAATGTCGAAGAACTAAACAAAAAATTAAAAACAAATTTTTTCCGATTTTTTCCTATGGAAGCTATATGCTATAGTCGTCCGATCCGGCTCGTTCTGACTTATATAGGGTATTGTAGGGTATATAATTTCAGTCAGAAGTTTGCAACGCAGTGAAGAGACATCTGCGACCCTATAAAGTATACATATTCTTGATCAGCATCACTAGGCGAGTCGATCTAGCCATGTCCGTCTGTCCGTCCGTTTCTACGCAAACTAGTCTCTCAGTTTTAAAGCTATCTGCATGAAACTTTCTTTTTATTGCAGGTAGTATATAAGTTGGCACGAGCCGGATCGGAAGACTATAGCATATAGCTCCCATAGGAAGAATCGGAAAAATAAATGAAAAAAAATTATAAGTCTGCTGTTTTTATTATACCCTTGCAGAGGGTATTATAATTTCAGTCGGAAGTTTGCAACACAGTGAAGGAGACATTTCCGACCCTATAAAGTATACATGTTCTTGATCACTAGGCGAGTCGATCTAGCCATGTTCGTCTGTCCGTCCGTCTGTCAGTTTGTCCGTCCGTTTCTACGCAAACTAGTCTCTCAGTTTTAAAGCTATCTCCATGAAACTTTCCCAAAAGTTGTCTTTCTATTGCAGATAGTATATAAGTCGGAACGAGCCGGATCGGACGACTACAGCATATAGCTCCCATAGGAACAATCGAAAAAATAAATAAATAAAAATTATAACTTTGTTGTTTTTCATATTTTTTTTTTTAGTTCTTTGACATATAGTGATGGTAAAATATTTCAGAATTACGTTTTAAATTTCATCAAAATCGGACGACCATATCATATAGCTCCCATAGAAATGTTAAAAATATATAAAAGAGCTATCTAATAATTAAGCTGCAAATCATCATAGCTTCAATGTTTTTAAACATATACGCAAGTAAATCATAATTTTAATGTTTTAAAAAATATTTAATTCTTGCAATAGCTGCAAGGGTATATGAACTTCGGCTTGCAAAAGTTTGCTTTCTTTCTTGTTTTTTTTTTACTATATGTCGAAGGAATGGTTAAATATTTTAGAATTACACTCATAGAAAAAATCCAGAATTTCGGTGTCAAATCAAGAACGAACGATGTCAAATGTAAGGTAAACTCGAATATTTTTGATTCAAGTACGAAAGGCTATATTCAAGTACGTTTTATTCAATCCCGAAGTTCTACATTTAAGAATGAACGTCATCAGTCCAAGTACTCAAAAATGCGAAAGACATTGGTTTGAGTACGAAAAATTATTTTTGCAAATATAAAAGTGTCTTAGTTTAAGTTGTGCAAGTGAACAAATTAAGTATAAAAAACGTTCGTTTAGGCATGAACAGTTCTTAATTTAAGTACGAATAGTTTTAAATTGAAGTCATAAGAATTCGTAGTTAAAGTATTTATTTACTCTCATTTTCAAGAACGAATAATTTCTTATGTAAGAAACAAATATTCTTTTTTGGAGAGTAAACCATTCTTCTTTTAAAAACCAAACCCTCTTTAATTTAGAATGAATATTTTTAATTTAAGAACAAATCAATTTTCATGTAAGAAGGCAATATTTATTTGGAGAATAAACAATTCTTTTTTTTGAGTATAAAACGTTTTTAACTTAAGAATGCAATTTCTTAATGAAAGGTATTTCCGTATTACATCTGATTCAGTTGTTAATATTTAAACTTTTGTATTGTATTACATCTGATTCAGTTGTTAATATTAAACTTTTGTATTGTATTTTTTGACTTACATTAGAACAATATGTCTATAAAAGCATATACATATTTTATACGAATAAGAGTTTTATCATTATTTAGAGG